ACTGAACAGCGGGTGTGTCAATGAAGCCTCAAGGGGTGCAGCGGCAGGAACCGATGGCGAACAACAGATAAACGACCGACTGCAGGAATGTGACCCGGATTCCTGCCGCTGTCGTCGTCGTCGTCGTCAAACTGGTTTCACCTACGACCGGTGACTTCTGGCCTGCCTGTGCGGCCGACCCTCCAATTTCTCAACTTCCTATTTTGTCGACTTCGAATAGCGCAAGAATAGCGTCCAGTATCTTGGTCGTCGAAGTCGCTTTGGTGACTGATTCTGACTACTGTGGTGCGTGGTGCATCACACGGCAATCAACGGCGAGCAAATCGGTCGGTAGCCGCGAGGTGGCAGTCGTCGCTCCGTTGAGTCAAGAGGAACACGAGGTAAGCATGTTTTATCGGAAGCTGCGATATCGGTGGTGAGGCTGGCGGCAGTTCGGTTTCGAAAAGGATCGACCGAACAACGCAAAACGACAACTGTCGTTCGATGAACCAGCAATCTTCGACTGGCACTGCCTTTTCTTTGGTTATCTAGCTGTATGAGTGTGTTAGGTCCGTCATAAAGCTAGGTTACCAAAGCTAAGAACAGCGCCAAAGGCGCTTCTCCGTCTTCTTCATCGTCTTCGCACTCCACCACCAGCAGCAGCACCAGCACCAGCCAGCGTTTCCGTCCTTCAGATGTCCGGTGTGTCGGCGACGCCCGATTTTTTCTTGTCATCGTTTTTCTCTGGTGCTTCGTTGGAAGACTTACTACTGGTGCCATGTTTTGTTACTTGGTTACTGCGTTTTAGCATGTCGTTCCTTGTATATGATTTACGGCTGTTATAAACGTTGCCTACGCGATGTGCGCTCCTGTTTTATTCGTGTTTTAAAGCACAACACAAAAACAGCAGCGGTTCATGTCCAACACTTCAGTCATGCTTTCAACAAGGCATTCACAATGACTGCAACAAATCGTAAACACGAATGTGATTAGTTCGGTATTCAGATCACCATGAAACAATAAATATGAATATGCTTCTCGAAACTCGTTCATTTATATAAGTGATGACGTCAGTTACGTCGTCGCTTTTAAATAGCACAGTTTGAGGACCTGAAAATGGGTACAACAGCAGGGCATGGGTTGCCAGAGTACTTAAGCAAGGAATTCAACCACAGTTTCGATGCGACCGGCCGAAAAACAGGTGGCCGGCCGGTGAACTGCAAATATTAGCCCGGTATGATGTTCTGGCGTGATTAACCTGAGATATAGGTATGCTGTCTAACAGCGTGCATTTTCCGGCCGTAATTCGCCTGGATCCAGCTG